ATAGTGGTTACGAATCGGGCTGCGAACCTTAAGGTCAGCGGTTCGAAACTACCAGCTGCTCCGCGGGAAAAAGATGAGGTTTTCTACTCCCGTAAAGATTTACACCCTCGGAAACTCTATACAGGGTCGCTATGAGTCGGAACCGACTCGATGGCACATAGCAACAACAACAACAACTATTAAACTCACTCATATTTTAAGTCTAATACAAGCTAGCCTACCATTACTGGAATTAAAACTTGTTATTTTTCTAATAGGATTTTTCTTTTTGTGTAAAATTTAGAGTTCTTTAAGTTAATTGATAAGCCAACCATTCATCAATTCCAACTCATAGTGACCCAAGGTGTGCCAAAGTACAACCATGCTCCACAGTGTTTTCATTGGCTGAGTTTTTGAAAATATATAGCCAAGTCTTTCTTCTGAGTCATGTCTAGGTAGGTATAAACCTTTCAGTTTACAGTTGATCAGGTTAAAAGTATGACCTCATCAGGGCCTTGTTAGTAGCATGATAGGCAACATTCTCTCTTCCTCAGTTTCTCCAAAGTATAACCTTAGGAAGGAAGAGGTTAGTAAGTGGCAGAATCCAATAACTAATGTATTGCTATTGCCTGCTACACTAAGAAGTGAGTAGAAAAGGATTGATTTTAAAGGCAGCTGATGAAACAAAAGTTGAGCCCAGTTCAAATTACCCAGGAAAATCAGTTATATTACCCATTAAATATACGTGATTTTATGTATGTAGTCCTTTAGATTATTTCATCATTTCCTTAAACTTCTTGATCAAGAAACTCTTAAAAAGCATTCATATTTCTTTCCATAATGTTCACCAAGATTCTTTGATGATTTCAGATAGGATTGTATCTAATGCCTAAATCATTCATTATTGAGTGGAAGAGCAGCCACATTTTTTTTTTAATTCTTTCTCTTTTTTCTCTCTTGCACATGTACCACATGCTGCCATATATGTATGGACTGAGTTGAAGTCACACAACTGAAATCTACATATGTTACTACTCTACTATATGCAAAAACTCCTGCATGTATTAAAAGCGATCCCCTGTTTGTTTCTATAGTGGTGCCCTCTTGGAGGTAAAATGCCTGCATTTGAATAAACTTCAAGATATATTTTTCATCAAGACGAAGAAATTCTTACTGATTGGAGAAAGTAAAATATGTGTGAAACTTGAACAGAAAAGCTTAACTTGCAAAAGAATGAACATAGTCAAGATTGGTAAGAAATTGCATGTGGGGGTGTGGTTTCAATTGCCATGTTTTTGTATATATGAAGACACTGATTGTATGTGGACTTTCTGTATGTTATAGCAGAAAAATAGTGGGAACAATTTGCAATTGATAGTAGCAAATGATCTAATGGAAATACTTGCTTTTCTTTAAGAAAGGACATTTTTGAAATCTATGCTATGAATTCTTGCTGTCACAACATTCTGAGAGTTTTCAGATTCAGAAATGGGAGAAAGTGAAACAGCAGCTACAGGTTTCAAAAGAACTAATCGGCATGAAGACTCTAAATAGACCTGGGCCTGCACATTAGCCTTTCTTTCCTAACCTAGTCTTCTCCTGTGTCTTTGCAGTCTTTTCCCCATATTCTGAGAGTGTTTAATTAAATTTTCAAGTGTTGCAATGAAAAATTTGAAATCAGATTAAGTCCTTAAAAGGAGATTAAGAGGATTTATTTAGAAAAAAAAATTAAAATATTACATTGGAGACAGCAGTTTGTATAAATGAGAATTGATGACTTCAACTACAAGCTTTCAACAAAGAGATACATAGATATAGAGCAGGGAACAAAGAAGTTATAAAACAGTCATTTGACTAGCCTTTGGTTGAGGTCACAAGGAGGATGTGTTAGGGCTGGCTTTTATTGGTTAATTGAAAGCAAAGGCTTACAGTGATTGATTCCAGTAACTAATTAAACAAATTTTCAATCATAGTCATACACAATTCAGGTGGGATCATAAGAACATCTTCAGTTGATCTTTAAACATCTTTAGTCATATGCCTCAGGAATTTAAGATAACTATTTGGTACCAGAACCCATTTCCCAAAGCAGCTTATTAAACAAAAACCTTTTTAAGTTGTCAAGTAAACTGTCAGTAAGGATGGTTCCTAGACTTATTGAAAACCATTTTTTTAAATTATATCCCTGTCATAAAGAATTATTTCTTGGACTCACTTTATACAAAACAGCAACTGTGTTAAAATCCCCTTCCTTAGAATGTATTTCTTTCATATCCTGACTTGGGCATAAACAGAAATCACTCACTAATAATTAAAAAGCCAATGACAGTCACCTGTGAACGATTTTAGTTGCCTGTGTTGAATGCAGTTAAGCAAGTATAGAGTCTCAACCAGGAATCTAAGAAGACTTAGTTGCTGAGTTGAATACAATCATCTAGTTTTGATTTCAAAAGGCTTCATGAATTTCTCATTCACACATGTTATTTTAAAAAGTAAATATTCCTTCTTATGAATCTTACTACTGGAGAGTGATGAATGTAGCAAATCTGATTTGACCAAAAAGTCACATGTTAAACTTTGCCCAAAAAATGGTATAATTACTTCTTAAATACAGTTATGATTTGAAATGCCAAAAACCATCTACATGGTCCTTCGGATCAAAAGAATATCCATATACACAAAGTTATGTGAATCAGAAAATTCATTCAAACTACCTGGCTACTAATAACAACAAAAACCAAACCCACTGCTCTAGAATTGATTCTGATGCATGGTTATTGTGTTGTTGCTGTTGTCAAGTGCCATCGAGTCGATTCTGACCCATAGCACCCTGTATAGGGTTTCCAAGGAGCAGCTGGTGAGCTTGAACCGCTGACCTTGCAGTTCAAATGGCTTTGCAGTCTGGCGCATTAACCCACAGAGCCACACTGCCATCAAATCGGTTTCCACCCTATGCACAACATAACAAAATACTGCCTAGTCCTGCACCATCTTCACAATTATTGTAATGTTTGAGCCAATTGTTGCTGCCACAGTGTTGATCCATCACATTGGGGGTCTTCCTCTTTTCTGATAACCTTCCAGTTTTCCAAACATAAAGTTCTTCTTCACGGACTGGTCTCTCCAGACATGACCAAAGCAGAATAGACAAACTCTCATCATCCTGGCTTCTAAGGATCATTCCAATTTTCCTTTTCCAAGACAAATTTGTGTGTTCTTCTTGTAGTTATATGGTACATACAAGATTCTTCTCTATTCAAGTGCATCGATTCTTCTACAGTTCTCTTTATTCACTGTTCAATTTTCACATGCTTATGAGGTTATTGAAAATTCCATGGCTTGAGGAAGGCACACTTTAGTCCTCAAGGTGACATCTTTGCTCTTGAACAGTTTAAAGAGGTCTTGTGCAGCAGATTTGATTAACGCAGTACATCATTTCATTTCTTGACTGCTGCTTCCATGAGTGTTGATTGTGGGTCCCAGCAAAATGAAGTCTTTAACAGCTTCAATCTTTTCTCCATTTATCATGATGTTATTTATTGGTCAGTTGTGAGGATTTTCATTTTCTTTAGTTTGAGGTGTGATCCATACTGAAGGCTGTAGTCTTTGATCTTCATCAGTAAGTATGTCAAGTTCTCTTTGTTTCCAGCAAGCAAAATTATGTAGTCTGAATACCACAGGTTGTTAATAAGCCTTCCTCCAATCATAATTCCAAGATTCTTCTTCATATAATCCTGTTTCTCAAATTATTTGCTCAGCACATAGATTGAATAACTATGGTTCACACCTTCCCTTATTTTAAACCATTCTAAGGACTGCTTCTTGGTCTATGTACAGGTTCCTCATGAGCACAAATAGGTGTTCTGGAATGTCTATTGTTGTTAAGTGTTATCAATTAAATTCTGACTCATAGTGAGCCTGTATAGGGTTTCTAAGGAGTGGCTGATGGGTTTGAGCTGTTGACCTTGTGGTTAGCAGTCCAGGAATAACTATCATTTGCAATGTTAGCCATAGTTTGCTATGATCCACACAGTGGATAGTCAATAAACTACAGGTAAACTTCTTTCTGACATTCTCTACTTAAAGCCAAGCTACATCTGATGTCAGCAATTATACCCTTAGTTCCACATCTTCTTCTAAATCTGGCTTGAATTTCTGGCAGCTCTGTTATACTTGTATATGATAGTAAATGGTATTGTTCAATGAGTTCCACATTCTGTTGGGTCACCTTTCTTTAGAATGCATACACATATGGATTTCTTCCAATCAGGTGGCCAAGTAACAGTCTTCCAAATTTCTTGGCATAGACAAGTGAGTGCGTCCAGCACTGCATCAGTTTGAAAGATTCCAATTGTTATTCCATGAATTTCTGGAGCCTTGTTTTTCCCCAAAGTTTTCAGTGTAGTTTGGAAGTCTTTCAATATCTTTGGTACTTGATCATATATTACCTCTTGAAATAGTGGAATACTGACCAATTATTTTTGGTATAATAGAATGTCTCTACATAGTCTTTCGATTTTCTTTCAATTCTTCCTGGGTAATTCTATTTTTGCCCATGGAAGCTTTCGATATTGCAAGGCAAGCCTTAAATTTTTTATTCAATTCTTTCCGCTTGAAACATGCTAAATGAATTCTTACCTTTTGACTTTCTAACTCCAGGTCTTTGCACATTTCATTATAATACTTCTTGAGCTGTCCTTTAGATTTTCTGTTCAGCTCTTTTATTTCATCATTTTTGCAATCACTTTAGCTTCTCTACATTCAAGAACAAATTTCAAAGTCCCTTCTGACATCCATTTTGGTCTTTTCTTTCTTTCCTGTCTGTTTGGTGATCTTTTGTTTTCTTCATGTATGATGTTCTTGATATCATCTCACAACAAAGACAGTAAACTGTGACCAAGTACAAGGGGGTGGTGTGAGACATTAAGGACTTTGAAAGAAAGCACTTTGGTTGGGGAAAGAGGATAAGGGTAGTAGGGACAAGTCTCACAACAGTACATTATCCTGATTCCTGCTATAACATTTGACTCATGGAACAGCCATTTCATTGAATTTAAATGCCTCCATTTGAACCCCAGAGCCAGAGCTCCCTGTGACTCTCTGCCATCTCGCTCTCTTCCTCTTGTTTAGTTTTGTGACTCCCTCCAATTCCCCCAGCAAGGCTGGTGAGGGCAGCTTCCTAATTTCCTACTGCTCCTAACAGGGAAAAGGGTAAGAGTGTTCAGATTATGTAACAATATATGAACTTTTAAAGATATTACTTGAGGAATGGGCACTTTTTCTCATTTTCTCAGCAATATCGTTTGGTCCAGAGACTGGCCTTTCTTGGATAAAAAAATATAGGATAATGAAATGTAGATGCCAAAGCCAAATGAAGGCGAGAGAGCCTCCAAATCAGACAGAGTTGGATTTAAATCCTATTAGACTATTTTGTGGACTCCTTGGGTGATACAAATGGCTAAGTCACTCAACTGCTAACTCTTGGAGATTCAAGTGCACTGAGAGGCACCTCAGAAGAAAAGCCTGGTGATCTACTTCTGAAATCACAGCCATGAAGTCCCTACAGAGTCCCGTTCTCCCTGATACACATGGGGACACCGTGAGTCTGACAGACTTAGCATAACTTGTTATTGATTCAACCGTTTTATAGGGATCTGAGTTCCACCAGGTCCAGTAGGAAATGGTTAGACACAGGCTGCTAACTGAAAGATTGGAGATCTGACTCCACCACACGGGGCTTTACAAGAGAAAAGACCAGTCAATCTGCTTCTGTAAAGATTACAAACTGGGAAACCCTATGAGGTAATTCTGCTCTGTCCTCTAGAATCACTATAAGTCAGAATCAACTAAAGCACACACAACAACAACCAGTTCAACTTAATTAACTTCTCCGAGTCTCAGTTCCCTCATCAGTAGAGTGGAGATAAATCATTACATTGTTTGACTAAGTAAAGCACTTGGCATTTAGGACTGTAACCGATAGTTAGCTCTGTTTTCTGAAGTCCTGCATTAGTGAGAGTCTTTGAGGGATGGGGGCTGGAACAAGGGCTTTAACCTGAGAAGGTTTTGTTGATAATGTGAACCTTAAAGACTTCCTTAAATGAAAAACAGGCACTGACTTGGGAGGACTAAGTGGGTGGGCAGTTCTCTGTAGATCTGTTTGCCTACCCTCGCCCCTTCCTCCTGCTTCCCCCAGGGTGGGTTCCTTTTTATAGTGTCTCTAAGCATCAAAAAAAGGATAAACTTCCCCTTTTACAAGACATCCAAGGGTAAGAAGAAGCCGCTTCCCCTTTTTTGGTACCTTTATGACAATGAAGGAAAAACTTAGACAGCCCCTACTATGAACAAACACCTCCAATCACTGGGTCTAATTTGCCCCAAGTTTTACTGGGTCTTCAAGTAAGTCTAAAACCCCAATCAGACAGCCTGAAAACCAACTCAATCTAGTGGGGGTACATTTTATGAATAAACATTAGTAACAGCTGTACGTTAGATTTAAACCCTTGTGCTTCTGCATCTCAACCTGACAGTGTTATCCTGGGCCTTCAAGTCATTTATAACTCGTGTTGTTGCTAAGGGCTGTCGAGTCAGTTCTGACTCATAGCAACCCTGTATAGGGTTTCCAAGGAGCAACTGGTGGGTTCGAACAACCGACTTTATGGTTCACAGTCCAGAGCTAATCCTACAGTGCCACAGGAGTTAGAGATGCTGTTATCACTTTCACTTGCTTAATCACCAGGCCACACCCCACTGCAAGGAACACAGAGAGATGTACTCTGGCTTTGAACTCAAAAAAGAAAAGAAATGGTTTTCTGAACAGCTAGCCCCTCATGATCACAGAAAGGAAATGTGATTTTCAGAGTAGATGGATTTTTAAATTTAGTACTTCATTGACTACCCCAGAGACTGACTTCATTTCATTTTCCTTTCCAGTTAAACCCGAGGCTCCTTTTGACTTAAGAGTTGTCTATCGTGAGGAAGCAAATGATTTTGTCGTGACATTTAATACAACGCACTTACAAAAGAGTTATGTAAAAGAACTAGTGCATGATGTAGCCTACCACATGGAGAAAAATGAAAACAACTGGATGGTATGTAGCGCAAAGGCTTTGTACACTTAAAACCTCTTACAGTTACATTTTTTATTGTTCCAGGGGCCTCTTTCCCCTGGGAGGGCCCAAAGAAATTTTGTGTTCAAAATGTACCTTTTAGTGAAAGAAGCACTTGTCCCATAAAACCTGGATCTTTCTTGATCCATTCTTGTTCTAGTTCTTTTTTTTTTTTTTTAATTGCTCTATTTTTTTGCCTTAATAATGTTTCTGATTGAAACCAAATCAATCATTTTTATTTAGGGGAGGGGGTCTCAGAAAGTGTTATTTTTTTTTTAAATCACTTTCATGAGTTATTTGTGCAACAAAAACACCCCTGCACAGTGGGGAGACAAGATCATAAGCAAAAAATGGTGTATACATATATATCTGGTAGCGTAGTGGTTACGAATTGGGCTGGGAACTGGTCAGCAGTTCAAAACTACCAGCTGTTCCATGGGAGAAAGATGGGGCTTTCTGCTCCCGTAAAGATTTACAGCCTTGGAAACCCTGTACAGGGTTGCTATGAGTCAGAACCGATTCCACGACACATAACAACAGCAGCAACATTATATATAGATATACCACATATTCTGAATACGTGAAGCCTGGTGTGGTGATGCAAGTTAACGCACTGGACCGCAAGGTCAGTTTGAACCTCAAGGTCTGTGGTTCAAACTCACCAGCCGCTCCTTGGAAACCCTATACAGGATCTCTATGAGTCGGAACCAACTCGATGGCACTTAACAACAACAACATATTCTGAATACGTGCAGCCATAAAGAGGAATGAAGTCCTGATACATGCTACAACATGGGTGAACCTGGGAACCATCATGGGATAAGCCAATTACTGTAGGATCTCACCTACATGAAATAAACAAATATATACAAATGAAAGATGATTCATGGTTACCAGGAGTGGATGGGATGGGGAAAGGCAAACTTTTTTTCTACAGGACATTGATTTTACGTCAATGGTGGTGGAATGATGTGAATGGCTGTGCAAAATGCAAAAATGTGATTAATGTCACTGAAATATACCTGAAGGAACCGTTACATTGGAGAATATTTTTTGTGTAGACTTTAACCACATTTAAAAAAAGAAGCATACTAATCAGAAAAGCAGTAAAAGAAGTGAAAAGACAGACAAACAAAAGTAGAAGTTTATATATGTCTGCGCTGGTGGCACTATAAGATAATCACTGTACTGCTAACCACAAATTCAGCAGTTCAAGCCCACCAGCTGCTCCAAAGGAAAAAGACGAAGCTTTCTGCTCCTATGAATATTTACAGCCTCAGAAACCCTATACAGGGTCACTATGAGTCAAAACAGACTCTACAGTACCTAACAATATATGCCCACACACACAATAGTCAAGATTGTAAAGCAAATTAAAAATTAGATTTAAATTGCCACATATGCAACTTGTGGTTGGTGGTGATTGTGTGCCATTGAGTTGGTTCTGACTCATAGAGACCCTATACAGGGTTTCTGAGGCTGTGAGACCCTTGCAGCATCATTTATGGCATCATGAGAGACCCCTAATTGGCTGCTGACATGGTACATATCAAAACGATCCCTTTTAGCAAATGTTAGATAGAGAACGTTGAGAAAATGCCAGCATAACTAAAGAAGTACATCTGAGCAACTTCTGGTTTTCCATTCTAAAAATGTAATAAACCTTTTAACTCTTTAGCACGTGAATTTATCCAGTACAAAGCTGGCCCTGCTGCAGAGAAAGCTACAGCAGGACACAATGTATGAGGTCAAAGTCCGATCTATTCCTGATGGCAATTATTTTGAAGGCTTCTGGAGTGCATGGAGTCCAAGTTACCACTTTAGAACTCCAGAAACCTATGGCACAGGTGAGCAGTAACAACAGTCTTTGTTCCTCCCCATAATGCTTTACATGAGAAAGTGTGTGAACAAGAGTGAGAGAGGGAGAAGAAACTAAATGAGTATTCTCACAGAGAATTTCTGTTTCCATTTTGTGGAGAACAAGGAAGCAGTGAAAGAGGGATTCTTGATAGCTGATTAACTGGCGCCAGCTGTCTAGCCATTGCTGTCCTGGGTGTTTCTGATGCTGTTGTTGTTGTTATTGTTAAGTACTGTTGAGTCTGTTCTAACTCACAGAAACCCTGTGTAGGGTTTCCAAGGAGCAGCTGGTGGGTTTGAACCACAAACCTGTGGTTAGCAGTCCAGTGCTGATAATTCTAAACAAAATCTCTATCCATCCACTTCCTACAATGTTCTAAGATACAAATGGCTAATTGTCCTACAGCTCCTCAAGAGGATGCTTTTGTTGTGATGGCTACACAGACTGGTGTCACTCTTTTAGGATTTTCTTTTCCAGATTAATTGATATATTCTATGGATCAATAGATCTATTCCACATCCTATTGGAGTCCTGGTGTGATGTGCTGGAGGACAAACACTGTACCACAAGGCCTGTTTGAACCACAAGGTCATCAGTTCAAATTCACCAGCCGCTCCTCAGAAACTCTATACAGGATCACTATGAGTCGGAACTGACTCCATGACACTCAACAACAACAACAACAACATGGATCTAGACTGTCATCCTGGTGGCATAGAGGTTAAGTGCTCAGCTGCCACCCAATAGGTCTACAGTGTGAACCCATCAGCCATGGCACAGGAGAAAGATACAGCAGTCTGCAGCTGCAAAGATTGCCCTTGTTGTTGTTAGGTGCCATCAAGTGGATTCCAACTCTTAGTGACCTTATGTACAACTGAAGGAAACACTGCTACTCATTTGTCATCCTCACGATCAGTGTTGTTTCAGCCCATTGTTGCAGTCATTGTGTCAATCTGTCTCATTAAGGGTCTTCCTCTTTTAACCTGACCCTCTAAGTACTGATACCTCTTCATACCATGCCTAAAGTAAGTGAGAAACAGTTTCACCATCTTTCCTTCTAAGGGGGATTCTGGCTTCACTTCTTCCAATAGAGAGTCATCCATTCTTCGGGCAGTCCATGGTATATTCAACATTCTTCTCCAACATCATATTTCAAAGGCATCAGATCTTCTCATCTTCTCATTTATTAACAAACTTTCACATGCGTATGAAGCAATTGAAAATACCATGGCTTGGGTCAGGCACACGTCAAGTTGACATCTCTGCTGTTCAACACTTTTAAGAGTTCTTTTGTAGCACATTTGCCTAATGCAATAAGTCATTTGATTTCTTGACTGCTGCTTCTACTGGTGTGGGTTGTGTATCCAAATAAAATGAAATCCTGGTCAACTTCACTCTTTTCTCCATTGATCATGATGTTACTTATTGGTTTAGCTGTGAGGATTTTTTTTACTCCTTATATTTAAGTTCAATCATACAGAAGGCTGTAATCTTTGTTCTTTATCAGCAAGATCTCGTCACTTTCAACAAGCAAAATGATATCATCTGCATATCACAAGTTGTTAGTCTTTCTCCAATTTTGATGCACTGTTCTTTATAAATTGCAGCTATTTGTTCAGAACACAGACCGAGTAAGTATAGTGAAATGATGTAATCCCAGTATGCGCCTTTCTATAAAGAATTCAACCTGGGAATCCTATGGGGAAGTTGTACTCTATCCTTTAGGGCCACTTGAATTGGAATCAACTCAGATCGCACCAGGTTTGAGTTTTTCTATGGATCTAGAGAGTGAGAACGGCCAGAAGATCCTGAGAACGTGATTCAAATAGACCCCTGGGATCTCAAGGCACCCATATATGCCTTCCCATTGGGAGATTAGATAGGAAAGTTTTCTATGAACCCAACTTCCAATCTCACTTTACAAATTGCCAGGACTGCTGGACTCAATACTTAATCTGAACATCCCCCATCCCAGTTTCTGTCCCTAGTGGTGGGAGTGAGAGTGGCAGTGTTGATAACTTTGATGCTAGATCACTTACACGTTTCAAGTTGATGTTCTGGACCTGGCCACCCAAGTAGTTGCTGCTTTTGAAGTTACAATTTCCCCTCAAACACTAGCAATCATACTATCTACTAAAGAACAGCTTTAAAGAAATCAGAAACAAGTCACTAAATGAACTCAATGTATCCTTAATGTCTACTCCACTACTGCTTAATGAATGCTAACCAAGATCTACCCTTGCATTCTAGGTGATATGGATCCTGTTTTGCTAACTATCAGCATTCTGAGCTCCTTCTTTGTGGCCCTGTTAATCATCTTGGTCTGTGTATTATGGAGGAAAAGGTGATTTTCTTCAACTAATCAAGAGGGTGATTGTGTGGAATCCCAGACAGTCATAACTTTAATCATATTTATTGATGAGAAAACTGCAAAGGGGAATAAGAAATTATAGTACTCAATACATCTTACCATTCTCAGGACCCAGTGAATTTCCTTAGTAAATTTCTTAAAAGGTGAAAATATATAAATTTTACATAAAGCATGGACTCCTGCTGTGGTGTTGTATAATCAGCACTGGACTGTGAACCACAAGGTTGGCAGTTCAAACCCACCAGCTGCTCCTCAGAAACCCTATACAGGGTCACTATGAGTCTGAAATGACTCGACAACATTTAACAACAATAACACATAAAGCATAGTCTTCCCCTCAAAAGAGAATTTGTTAAGGCCATGTTTCCCACATTTTTCCTACAAACTCTCCTAAAGGAAAACGTGAGGAGAGACCATGCCACCAGAGTGCCTGAGCAATGGGGACATCCATGGCCAATGCAAAATAGATTTGAAGTCCTGAATGGACTTTCACACATCAGCGGCATCGATGGTGGCAACAGTAGTGAGGTTGGCCCAGGATCGGGCAGTGTTTCAGTCTGCTGTGCATAGGGTCGCTATGAGTTGGTGCCGATTTGATGGCCCCTAACAACAACAACAAAGTTACTTAATGTTCTCAAAGATGCCCTCAACACAGGTTCACATATCTCTAGGACCAGAAATACCCCAATTCGAATGTTGTTGTTGTTATGTGCCGTGGAGTCGATTCTGACTCATAGCGACCCTGTACAGGGTTTCTGAGGCTGTAAATCTTTATGGGAGCAGAGAACCTCATCTTTCTCCCGTGGAACAACTGGTAGTTTCAAACTGCTGACGGTGAGATCAGCAGCCCAATTCATAACCACTAGCTACCAGATCACCTTTTGATTAAAATTAAAACAATTTCCATGAGTAACCTAGGAAAGATTTACCAGACAAGAATAAAGCACTTACAACAAAATTAGGTTGGAGGAGTTGCTGCCAATAAAGAGAAGGAATAATAAGATAACACTACCTAGTGGGAGTAGAAGGAGCTCTAGTAGCATAGTGGTTACGAATTGGGCTGTGAACCGCAAGGTCAGTAGTTCAAAACTACCAGCTGTTCTGTGGGAGAAAGATGAGGCTTTCTGCTCCCATAAAGATTTACAGCCTTGGAAACCCTGTACAGGGTCGCTATGAGTCAGAACCGACTCCACGGCACATCACAACAACAAGTGGGAGTAGAGGACCAGGTCAAATTTTAGTCCCGTAGCTACATCAAAACTATCTCATTACCAAGTCTCTTTGCCCTTTTCTCCAGGGCTGATTTCCAGACGTATACCATGGTTATGACAATGATTTGGTTCTGAGACCCAGAGAAAACAAGTCCTTTATATAAGCTTACGCACCCAGTTGTGATAGAGCCAAGATTCGTAATGCCATCTTCTTATGTCTGGCTCATAAGAAATGGAAAGAACAATTGTGCCAGTTCTTCCTATCACTGATTCCTCTAAAAAGTGCCCTCTTATTTCAGAATTAAGCCTATTGTGTGGCCCAATCTTCCTGATCATAAGAAGACTCTGGAACAACTGTGTAAGAAACCAAAAAAAGTGAGTACATCTGATACTTCTGTTACTATGTTGAAGGCAGGCCAGGAACCAAGAAAGACATTCCAGGATAAGAAATAGTTGACATCAACTTGTGATCCTTTTTGGATCTTGTAAGTAGAGTCCCTTGCAAGATCCCAGCTGCAGCTCCCAAGAGGTAGGGCACTAAAATGGGACCCAAGTCTCACAACTTCCCAGACTCCCCAGGAATGGGAGCCAGTGGTCTCTTCAGATCCTGCTATGTCACAACATGCCCTACCATGTTCCCAGAAAGTTCTTTAGACTTCTCTCTAAAATGAATATCTGAAAATCTGTTTCTCTGGTGTAATCTTCATGCCCTGTCTCTTTTTTCCATGCAGAATTTAAATGTGAGTTTCAATCCTGAAAGCTTCCTAGACTGTCAGATTCATAAGGTGGATGGCATTCAAGCCAGAGATGCAGCAGAAGGCTTTCTGCAGGATTCATTTCCTCCACCACTTGATGAGTCTGAGAAGCAGAAGCTTGCAGGAGGTGTGCAAGGTCTCAACTGGCCCTCTGATCATGCAGACACTTCCCCAGAAACTTTCATGGCAGATTTACCCCACAGATGCCTGCCTGAGAATGTCAGCACTTGTAACATCCCTGAGTTCCCTTCCTCCAGATTCCCCAACTGTGGCAAAAAGGGACCCCATGTGTACCAGGGTCTCCTGCTTAGCTCTGGAACTCCAAATGGTGTACCCCCTCCTTTGTTTCATCTTCATTTGAACCCAGCTCCCCAGGGACAGACCATCCTCAACTCCCTGGGATCAAGCCAAGAAGAAGCATATGTCACCATGTCTAGCTTCTACCGAAATCAGTGAATTGTAAGAAATCCAGGACTGGAACCATTGTAACTGACAAAGATAACTGACCCCCTGCTCTCCTCAACAGCACAAAGAAGACAGCATTATCCCACCCCACCCGTGAGCTCTGAAGGATTCTGAAACATTGTTTGGCCACTCCCTGGTTCAGGGACATCTGCATGAGACAAGAGCTTCCTGCCTCTACCTATGTTGAGTTGGTCACAAAGTTTCAGACCACCCAAAGGTTATTTAAGAATATTAAAAAAAGGGAGTGAGAAAGGGCAGAGGAAAGAATGGAGAGGCAAATAGAGAGGGAGAAAAGGAAGAAAGATGGAAGGGAAAATACGAATGACAGTTACCACCAGTAGGGCTTACTGAACACCCAATGCTATTCAATGTCCTCTACTCATCTATCTCTCATCGGCTTCACAACAATGCTAGCAGGTGGGTGCAAGTCTTTTCTTTCTCATGACTGAGGAAATGAGGCTCAAAGGAATGAAGTGACTTCATTAAGTCAAGATTTGATGTCCCAGTGTCTGACTGCAATCTCCTCTGAGTCATGCATCTGCCACTTAACTAGGGACTGTCCCGTTCTTGGTTGCCAACTCCCACTCATAATAAGATGACAGTAGTTAGTGTAGCACTGTAGAATCAGTGCTGGACTGTGAACCACAAGGTCAGTCGTTCAAACCCACCAGTTGCTACTTGAAAACTCAATTCAGGGTCACTCTGAGTTGGAGCTGACTTGAAGGTACTTACCAACAACAACCACAGTTAATTGTCCAAATCATGTGACTTTTAAAGTGAAAGGGGAAGCTATAAATAATCATTCCAAGCCAACAAGCATGAACCAGAACTGTTCTAGACAAATGGGGATGTATGGTCACCTAAACAAATACGACAAAGAGAAAAAAGTAGAAAGAAATGTTTTTGTGGTGTGTGAAGTTCTGTGGCTAGCACGTCTACAGAAGGTGGAGACGCCAGGAAAAGCCACAAAGCCCCATTACATTTTGTTTTTCAGAAAGAGTGCTCAAGGGGGAATAAAGTAGAAGCCCAGAATTGGTATCATTCTTCATCAAGCCCTTAATCCTCTTGCTGCCAACCCCCGAGTCTACACCCATTGACCTCAAAAGAACCCGTTGCTGACCCAGGACTCAGGTCTACAAGAGCAATGAGCAGGGAATGACCCTTGCTTTGTGTGCATTGAATGTCCCAGTCCAGATTCATCCACAAATGGTTGAAATCTACAGTCTTGGACAGTCCACAAACTTCAGGGAGGACTGCGAAGCATGCAGTGAGTGAGCAAACCGTGACTGTATTGTTGAAGACATAGAAAAGAGGCATGTTATTAACATTTGACATTTGTCCTCTTGCCTTTCTTGATCTGGATGAATTCCTAATGACTATTTTCAATCAAGCAATCCCTATGGTTGCAAACAGCTAACAAGCTCAACTGCCAATTGAAAGATTAGTGGTTCGAGTCTACCCAGAGGCATCTCAAAAGAAGTGTTAATGATCTAATTCAGAAAATGCAGCCACTGAAAACCCTATGAGGCACAGTTCTACTCTCTCACACACAAGGGCAAATGCTATTTTGTTTGTTTGGTTTTGGGTTTTGTTACTTTTTATATCCAACAATGTCAAGACAGCTGAATAATCTCCGATCAGGGGAGCATAGCTAACCCCCCTCCCACAAGGGTCTCCCGGCTCTGGTTGTACCCAGAACTACAGAGACCCAATGTGGCAGAGGTAGTAAGAAAACATATATGTAGTTCAAAAGTTTTATTGGGCACTATTGCTGCTTAGTTTTTTTAATTTTTTCTTTGTTCTTTGTTAGTGTTTGGGGATAATAATTTTTCATTTGTTTGGTTTGGTTTTGTGGTGTCTGTGAAGGGAGTCTTAAATCATGGTTTGATGGGGCTTGCCTGTTGACTTAGAAGCCTGGTTATCATTAAACCATCTGATTCTTTGATGAGCTCTGGTAGCACAATGCTTTAGTGCTCAGCTGCTAACTGAAAGGCTGGAGGTTTGAACCCACCCAGTGACTCTCTGCTCTCATAAAAATTGTTATTGTTGATTTTGTTAAGTGTCATGGATTTGGTTCTGATGCATAACAACCCTGTATAGGGTTTCCAAGGAGCAGCTGGTGGGTTTAAACTGCTGACCCTGTGGTTCTTGGTCCAGTGTGGACCTTACAGTGCCACACCTGCCTAGAGAACTGTGAGCCCTCTGTCCCTTGGGGTTACTATGGTCACAATCAACTCAGTGACACCTAACAAATTCTTTGATTGAGTATTGTGTTTACCAAAGTAATGGAAATGAATTTGTCATTGTTGTTGTTGTTGTTAAGTTGTTAAGTGCCTTTTTTGAGTCGGTTCTGATTCATAGTGACCCTGCATAGGATTTCTGAGGAGCAGCTGGTAGATTTTCGCTGCCAACTTTGAAATCCAAAAGCTGACCTTGCGGTCCAGTGCTTTATCCTATAACACCACACCAGGATACCGTATTATATCCCAGATTTGCTTGGTGCTTTTGTGATTTTCAAAGTACTTTCAAAAAACCTTATTTCTCTGATAAGCATTTATAGAAAGCCTAAGCACTTGACTACAAACCACAAGGTTGACAGTTCAAACCCACCAGCCATTATTTGGAAAACCTTATACAAGGTATCTATGAGTCAGAACTCACTTGACTTTGGTGGCACTTAAAGTAACAACTATGTGCCAACCATTGTGTTAGGCTAAATGCATATCAGATTGGGATCCTGTCAGCATAAGTACAAAATCTGAAAAAAAGGACAAGTATGTACACAAATGATTCTACTTCTGTGGAATTCCATAATAGAGATATGTTCACAGTACTCTGTGGGAGGACAGCCAGACATCTGCATGGAGGAGAAACAGATCCAGTGGCAAGGGTTCTTCATATTCTGTAACTCTAGGAGCCAAGTCTGCAAGAGATGGTCACGTAAAACGTATGACCAAGCTGGACCTCTATTAGTTTATTTGATCTTCACATAAATCCAATTAAATGTCTGTTATTATTTTGACTTGTAGGAAAATTGGGACCTAGAGAAGGCAGGTAAATTACTCAGTCTCACCTGGTGAGTCAGGACTGGGAACCATAAATGTATATCCCTCACATCAGTAGATCATCTCTTGAAGAAATGAGGAGACAAGTTCAGTGAAACATCCAACTCCCTCCAGCTCTAAAATCCTATATTTCTGTGATTTTTAAACTTAGGTTCTCATTTGAATTTGTGTGTGTGTGTGTGTGTGTGTGTGTGTGTTTATGTATGTATGTGTGTTATTGGAGACATTTAAAAGTCATGTGTTCTTATAATAATGCATACATAATCTGATAATGGTACGTAAACATTCTTATAATAGTAATTGCTCCTATTGCTTGATTATCTACCCAGGGACAATGTACAATGGAAGATTACTAATTGGGTCTGCCCAATCCCCCTTTGGAATTCATTAAGACAAACGCCTAGTCAGAGACAACATATAAATCAGAAATGGAAAAAGCCTGTTCTTGATAACATAAAATGAAAACTAGGAAATGGACAAATAGTTTGGTCAGTGATACAACCATGCTAGGATCAAAAAGATTCAAACTTACTCTGATGGGTTTTCCACACCAGACTTTGCCTCACCCTTCAATCTGGTTTCTTGGGGAACCTACAGCAGAAAAGTCAAGTATGGACTTATTTCAGACATGCATATTTGTGTTTTCTTCGCTGTTTTGGAAGGGCTTAAAGACTGGAACCTGGCCAAGAAGATGGTGAGAATGTATGGTAGGGCTGCTGGAAATGATGCAGATCAGGTGGCATTTCTGCCAATTCAGTGAGGTTTTGCAGGGTTTTTCTTAAAACTATCATTCACTACAATGAAAGTCTCTGATTGAACTGTGTTCTTTCTTTCCACATGCATTACAAACATTTTGCAAAGCTGCTAAATATGTAAGTATCCAACGTGTGTTACCATCTCATGTTTAATTAAATGACATAGAAACTCTTCGTGACTATTCTTTTCCTCTGTGAGAACTACACGTACGTATAATGATACCCAGAGTGAACCACAACTCCTGGCAACCGCTGGAAATGTTCTGTTGACAAGCATTATCATTTTATAGGTTTGGATTCTCAGAAGAACTTTGTTCATAGATCAAGCCATTCCCTAGTTATCAATGACTGAGTGACGATCTACTGTGGGTTTCTCTGCATTGTGGTAGGCACTGAGCCTACAGATATGACACACCATCTTCCCAGCTCACAATCAGATGGAGGACGAAGACAAGTAGACGTTGTTTCCATAGGATACTATTGCTTTAAAGCAGAGTATCAGTCAGGATTCTTAGCTTTAACAATAGAAATGCATTCATTTGAGCAGTAAAAGAACTTAATAAAGACTACTAAAGGGTTCACAGAATACCTGGGAGGGTCAAAGAATCAGTCTTGGAGGCCACAGAGTCATGTTGGAATACTGCCACTAACCATCAGAAACTGAAGACAGCTAGCCCAGCGTCATCCCCAGACCCAGCAGCATCCAGCTCTTTCACATCACAGGTTGCTGGTTCAAAGCCAAGGCCAGTGCTTAAGATTGGTGGTTCCTAAGCTTGGTGTGGTGCCATAGGAAAAGCACTTGACCACAAGGTGGTGAGAACTACCAGGTCAGTAGTTCAAACTCACCAGCCACTCCTTGGAAACCCTATAGAGGGTTGCCATGAGTCAAAACTGACTTGACAGTATTTAACAACAAGATGAAGCTTGGTCTCTAGCAATAGAGAGCATAGAAGGGGATAGCTGAAGATTTCTTCCTGTACAGTAAAAGGCAGGCTATTACTGAAAGAGTGGGGTGTTCAGACCCTGGATGGGAAAAATGAATGACAGAAACTGATGCAGGACACGTAGGAAAATAAAAACAAAGAAGCAGGTAAGGGAAAGCAATCTCACTTGGAATGGTATCACAGGACAGGACAGAGTGTGTCTGGAAAGGAATTGTGGAGTTTGAGGA